AGGGAGGGATTTTATAAAAAAAGAAACAGGAATATATATTTGCAATTTAAACAGTGGCTCATTGAATGTTGCAGTGATTTATTTACCCATGTGTCGACCCATCTACATCTATCCTAGTATACTTTGCTATATGAAATCTCAAAATCAGATGAGAAAGATAATGAGAAAAGAGAAGAAAAAATGATGATGATAGAGACTGTATACTACACATGAAGAATTATGCTGTCATTTCCAGATAAATTTTCTAATGACAGTAAGTAAATAGATAATTAAACTTCATGAGTAATCTGAATGACTCAAGCACTCAAAGTCTGTAAGAGTTTTGTCATTGTGGCATACAAACAGTCCTGTACAAGAGTCCAGGAATGATTGAAACATGGTTTCAAATCTGCTACAGTATCCTAAATTTCCTAAATTGTTTGATATTTTAGAGCTACAGAAAAATAACACTGGGCAATTTTCCAGGTCCTTAATTTAATCTAACAGGCTGTGTACAATTTTCTGCATTTCCAGAGCTGAATATTCAGGGCTCATTATTTAGTGCTCAATATTTTTGTGCTTTTATAGTGTTGTTATTTCAACTTTTTTTCCTCCTATTTCACAAGATAGATACTTTTACTAAGAATTACCAAACCAGAATTTTAAATAAGGAAACATAACTAGGTAGAAACTGTCTAATGCAAATGCAGGAGTATTTTCCAATTCAGTTCTTGCATTCAGTGCCTTTTATTGCCTTCACTTTGGTTTTCCTCAGAAGGCATCTTTCTGGCTTTTCAGCATGTGCAAAATACACCTTTACAGAACCACAGAATCACAGGGTCACCAAAAGCTTGTGGGACCTCTTGAGATAGTACAGCTTCTCTGAGAAGTGGTTCAGGTCATCCTCATGGCCCTTCACTGGACTCACTTGGCAAGCTGAGCTCTCTCTCCTAAGGGGAATCCATCAGTTCTGAGTGGAGAGGAAGGATCCCCTCCCTTGTCTGCTGCCAATGGTCTGCCAGTCCAGAAGGCTGTAGGCCTTCCTTGAAAAGTTTCCCTCCAGCAAGCTGGTTCCTAGCCTGCCCTAGCATGTGGATGGGGCTATTCCTTTACAGGTGCAGGACAGTGCTTCTTCCTGTGGAACTTTATTAGGTTTCTGCCAGCCCTTTTCTGCAGGCTGCTGAGGTCTCTGTGGTCTACTGAAGAATCCTTTCAATTGTTTCTCGCCTGCAAACTTGTTGAGGGTGCTCTCTGTCCCAGCATCCAGGTCATTCATGAGAACATTAGATGATGTTTTGGCCCCAGTATTGACCACTAGGGTGCTCTATAAGAAATGGTGAATAGGAAAACTTTGTGCATATTGGATTTCCTTTTTCTTTTTTTATTTTATTTTATTTTATTTTATTTTATTTTATTTTATTTTATTTTATTTTATTTTATTTTATTTTATTTTATTTTATTTTACTTTTTTTTAAGGATTAGTACATGGCTTAATTTTTTTCCTCTGGAGGAACAGTAGAAATTATTTATAAAGAAATCATGCTAAAAAGCACAAGGAAAAACACTGCAAAATAGTGAAGCACAGAAGCAAGAGTTCCTGAGATTGAACCACTGGCAATACTTGTAAAACCTGTCATGAGAATTTTCTTTGCTACATTTAAGAACAGATTGTGATATTTGCTGTTGGAAACCTTCTCTGAATTGCCTCAAGTCAAGAAAGAATCCTCAAACTTGTTTAATAAAACTGACTGATTTTCACTACGTTTTTGAAAAGCCTGAGCTAATGGCAGCTTTTAGGTGTCTGGGAGAAAACTGGGGAGGAGTTTGCAGTTACTTAAAGAGAAAAGAGAGGAAATAAATCTATGTTTGAGCATCTAGCGATTTTTCCAATAACCTTTTTACTGGGCAAGCAAAGCAGGACAGTCACACAGTCCCAGAAACCAGCAAAAAGTGTCCTTGTGCCATCACCATTGGTATAGCAGGGCTGTAGAGATGACAAACTCTGACTTCAAAACCAAACAGGAAAATCCGGTGTAGGCATTGACCTGAAATGCCTGGATGTGATGGGCTCTCCCAGGGAGGTTGAGGAGAAGTCCCGTGAATAGAGACCAGGGGCTGTCACCTGAGCAGATGTTAATGGGCAAAGCCAGTGCCCCCACGCCCCCACAGCAGTCCAAACTTGCACTAGCCAGCCCTCAAGCTAACAAAGTATGCTTTTCTTGTTGAGTCAGAGATAAGGCACAGTGCCCTTATCTCTGATACCTGGCTCTGACATCCAAGAAAGCACTGAATTTCATATAACATCCTGAAAACAACTGTGCATCAGAGGCTGGAGGGAATATACTGGGACCAGTGGTAGCTGGTTGAGGACATAGAGAGCTGCATCCTGTACAGCCTCTGCATCTATGGTCCAGATGTGGAGATGCCAGCCCAGGTGCTGAAGCCTCTCCTCAATGAGCACACCGTGCCACTGATCCACAGCATCAGCAGAGTCATTGTGGGCCAGTGCAGCAAGGAGGCCCAGAGGCTGCTGTGCTCAGGTCCTGTCATGCCTTGTGGCCAGCTCCAGCAGCTGCAGGTCCAGATCCAGCTCCAGTAGCTTTTGGACCTGTGAGGGTCCTTGACCTCCCAGCTCCTGGGAGGGGATCCCCACCAGCCCTGCAGCCTCCAAGGTGGAGGAAAAAACTGGTACATCAGTATCCACCTTCACTGGGAGCGCCAGCTGCTCCTCACCTGCACTTGACCCCTCAGAGTAGGACCAGAGCTAGGAGAGACTGCAGCAGCCAGTGGTGGCAGGTCGCTCTGCCCAGGGCTGCAGCCACAGCCCCTCTGCTCCCAGCCAGAGCGGGAACCTCTTGCCCAAGGGGTCTCAGCACCCCCTACAGAAGAAGGTCCTTAGCTCCCAGGATTTTCCTCCTCCCAGCAGGAGGCTGTCCTGACAGCAGCGCTAGCAGAACTTCTGCAACCCTTTATTCAGGAAATAATAAAAGGAAATAAATTGTTGTTTCACTCACAGTGTCTGAGATTCTCTTCCTACTAATGCCTTTACCCTTCCTCTCATGCCCCACTGTTGGTTGCACCCACATAATGAGAGGTACAGCCATGGACCCTGGAGCCTCAGGGCCATGTCAGTCGTGCCTCCTCTCACAGAAAACCCTGCTGCAGCCACACACACACACACACAATGCAACAGATGACAAAGGTGGTGTGGGCAGGAGGAACAAATTATCTTGTCACAGGTACACTGAAAATCCATCAGGACATCACCTCTGGCTTCTGCTGGCAGCTCCCTGTTGTCTCACTTGGTTCCAGTGCCTGAGAATCATCCTGAGCTCTGCCCACCCAAAAGGAGCATCGCCAGAACACTGTGCACCACTTCAGGGTGTCAGCTTGGGGATCACGAGGAAGTGTCCCCCCACACCATGTGTAGGCACACATGGGGGCCTGGCAGGGGCTTCCTCTCACAGCTGGGCACAGTGATCTACATGCCTATGGCTGGAGGGGATCCTTCCCCTCTCCCAGGGCAGGCCACCTCCATGCCAATACTCCAGATCCTGGCATTGCACAGGGAAAGGCAGTGAGGGAAGGAGACATCATCCAGCCACAGGCAGTCCATGCTGACTGCTCCCACCACATTCCTGCTCATGGGACACCTCGGCAGTGTGTCAGGGCAGGTACAAGAAACACAGCCATGGATGCATGACGCAGGTGACCAAAGCAGAGCAACATGGAAATGTAGAAGTTCAAAACAAGAAATTATTTTGTTTTCTTTCCTAGCACTATGCACCTCTAGTGGGGAACATCTCATTGTGACATCAGGCTCTGGAGGATGACATCCCAAGTGGCAGATTGTGACAACACATCCATTACTGATTTTATTTGGGCTCCAGGAGTAACTGCGCCAATCCGGCCCAAGCATTGACTCCTGTTGAGGAAGACTCTGGGATCTGCAGAATCAAACCAGGCTTTTCCCAGCACTGGTGGTGTGTTGGGGGCTGCCACTGACAGCTCTCTGCCTATCCTAGAGTAATCACACCTGTTTCCCTGCCCTGCCTGGTTGGGACAGCCAGACACTGTGGTTGCAGCATTGAGGGTGAGTTGTGCAGGAAAACGTCCCTGCAGGGTGGCCATGGGATGGGTGATGTGACCCAGGAAGGTGGGAGAGTGTTCTTCTTCAGGGGCCTGGCCATTCTTTGCTTCCCTCCCTGGGACAGTCAGTGACTACATCTTCTCCTGCAGTGTGACACCAATGGAAGGGAGCAGGCCCTGATCCTCAGCTTTCCCCAAAATGCTGCCAAGCACAAAAATGGCCAGAGAAAACGACAGCAACTGCCTCATCTGCCAGGACACTCCAAAGGATGTGGCTTCTGCTCTGCCCTGTCACCACCGGTTCTGCCTGGGCTGCATCCTGCGATGGACACAGACAAATCCATCGTGCCCACTCTGCAGGACACTGATAGAGACTGTCAGGTTTTCTGAGCGGGGTGAACAGGACTATCTGCTGTTTGCTGTCATCTCCCCTGAAGAGTCATCAGAGACCAGCAGTCACACAGAGGCAGCTCCCATCCTCCTGAATGAAAACAGCCCGCATGGCCCTCTGGTGTCCCCTGCACCTTCTCCACAGGGAACACTGTCCGCAGCTGAGCAAGGGGGTGCAGGGCAGGAGCCTGTGGGTGGCCTCCTGCCTGAGGTGTGGGCAAGACTGTTCCAACAAAGACAGCACCTCCTGGATCCTGTGCGACCCTGGCTGTGGGAGAGGCTGGAGGCAATATTCCAGGACCAGTGGTGGCTAGTACAAGTTGCACAGAGCAGCATCATGCATCATCTCTGCCTCCATGGTCTGAATGTTCAGAACTTGGTCCAGACACTGCAGAACTGTTTTGGGGAGCACACAGCACCACTGATCCATGGCCTCATCACTGTCATTGTGGCCAAATGCAGCGAGGAAGCCCAGAGGCTGCTGCTTTTCGGCATTGGCAGGGAGGAGACTAACAGCCTTGTGGCCAGTGCCAGCTCCAGCTCCATGTCCAGCAGCTCCAGGTCCAGCAGCTCCAGGTCCAGCAGCTCCCCGGAGAGGATTTCTGCCAGCATCCCAGCAGGATTAAATGTGGAGGAGGAAGCAGGAACATCAGGGGCTGCCCTCCAAGGGGGTCCCAGGCACCGCCTCCCTGTGCTCATTCCCACAGAGGGGGACCAGCCCCAGGAGGAGCCAGAGCAGGCAGTGTTGGCAGGTCCATCTGCCCAGGGCAGTATCTGCAGCCAGGTACAGGGCTGGGACCAGTCTCACAGGAAGTCTCGGTGTGCCCGGAAGAGGAGAGCCTCCAGCCCCCAGGGTTCTCCCCCACCCAGCAAGAGGCCAAGGCAGGCACCTGTGCAACCCTGAAGCCCTGAGGGGTTCTCATCATAGGAAGTGATGAAACTTGGATCAAGCAAGCCTATGGTGACTTTGGGAAACAACTGCATCTTCCCAGCTCTTGCTTCCAAGCAGTGCCTGGTGAAATCCTAGTTGGGGCAGTCCTCTGGTGGTGGGAGTCTGAGATGCCTCAGTAACTGAGAGAACCTGACACACTGAAATGTAAGCACATTTGAAAATGTAGTCCCAGATACAGCAGTGGTGCTGAAATGAAGGCATTAACCTTAATAAATTAACCTTTTATACTCTAATACAGTAGCTGATAGTTTTTTTATATTATACTGCAGTTATTGAACTGCAAGGAGTTCATTCAGGTGGAATAATGGACAAGGAGTATGTGGAAAACTTGCTTTCTTCATCTAGCTTGCTGAAAAGCAATTGCTGTAATTGAACTGAAAGCCTGCTTACTAAAATTTATTATAAAGCATAGGCTTAATAAAGTTATATATAAAGCAAAATATGAATATTGATGGAGTCTAATACAGTTCCATATACATTCTATATACATTCAGTTGGGAAAAATTCTTCTGGCCTTTTTTCACTCCCATGAGAATGCTATAAAGCAAATTACAACTGATTATTTTCCGATCACACAAAAAAATTAAGCAAAATAGCAGAAAGAGTTACATTTGAGCTTCATTTTAAAAGCAGGTGATTTGCTTTAATGCTTAAGCTAGAGAAGAGAAATGAGAGGATCTGCGTGTTGGGAAAAAAGCCATAATAGAACTGTGTAAATGCTTTCTGTTCCTCTCCCAAATGAATATTCTCACATTCAAAATATCTTTGAAAATTTAAGCAAAAATTTCCACTAAATTTATTTCTATCAACAGTGTTAAAACATTAATAAGAGCATTATTGGTCTGGATTAACAGGTGTCTGAATGAATTCTAAAATTTGCACATTCTGATACCACAAGTATCACAAAGTGTTACTTCCTTCAATAAGACAGATTTTTCGGAATATTCAACACTGGAATTAGATTTGAGTCTGGGTTTTTTTCCTCTCTAAACAAAAAAAAAGGCTGAAAGAGCCTACATCTTTGCTTACTCAAGAACAAGAGCAAACAGGCTCTGAGAGATCACTGGGCTCCTACCAAAGCAAAGTCAGAGATCTTGGATTCTGAGCTCTTCTAAAAAGATGTCCTTGATTTTCAGACTCATCACAGAAAAAATGTCATCAAAACAAAAATGAAATCAGTTGAATTTGGACACTGCTTTGCTCTCCATTAAACCACAAATCTAATCTCTACCCTTCTCATTAATACAAACACAGAAACACTGACAGCCTTGGTTTGCAGAAAAAAGAAAAGGAAAGCTGTCAGTACCAGTCACCTTATCATGATGAGTGCAGTGAATGCTGGAAGTGCAACTTTAAATCTCCAGCCATCGCCTTGACTTGCTGCACTCAGATTCTACATCTCTGCCACCTAGGCAAGGCACTCCTGTCCTCTCTCTGAGCTGTGGGTTATTTTAACACATGGGCCTGACTTTCACAGCTTCCTTGGAGCTGAAGATTTAACATAGTTATGGGTAAAATTCAACTCTTTAAATGTTCTTTTTTGACTCCTTGCATTGCCCTCATCTTCCCCATTCTCAGGGAACAAAGCTCAGACCTCTCTTAGGCTGAATGTGGGGAGCAGAGTAATTTCTGAAAAAAGTCTGATCCCAACAAGACAATTACCTACTGGCAAAGGAGGAAATTTCTTCTGCTGTCGTGCTTTGGTAGTGAGAAACAACTACTGCTTCCAACATGAGGTTTATCATGAACAAATGTTGGGGTCAGAAGCACAGAAAACAGGCCCTGATCTGTGGTGCCTGGCTCAAGAGAGCACCAAGTTTAGCATAACACCATGGAAACAGCTCTTAAAGTTAAGTAGAGAATGTGAGTGTGTGAGTGGATGTGGTTTTCTTAAGTCACTGGGTGAGAAAGTTAGAGTTTAGGGTTTAAGCTATATTAGAGAATGAGAGACAATACAGAGGGTTTAGTGCATGGTCCCTTTCTCCTTCTTCTTCCTTCTTCATCTTCTTCTTCTAAGGATTTTTGGGTAATAATGAGTGATTGGATAAAGAAATTCACAGTGCAGCATACAGGTGTTGGGTCATTGGGTCATTAAGAAAAAAAACTTACTTGGAATTTGATTATTGGACAAATAGACATATAGAAGACCTTGGAGAGATTATTTGCTCTCCATTTTGCACCTTTCTATCTTAGTGTATGTAGCTCCTTGTGCTCTGTATATGTGTAATACAGATAAGGAAAGAATAAACAACTAATCCTGAAGATGAGAAAACAGCTTCTCTCTCATCAGTCTCGGTCCTGGGGAAAAGGAGTCCAGTCACCAATGTTGCATCCCAACAAACAAATGATTCTTATAAAAATTTCTTAGAGGGTGTGAGTTATGTTGATGTGTCTGTGCACATGCATGTGCTGGGGCAGGGCTGGGAGCTGCACAAGGAAAACTTCTGTAAATTTTCCACACAAATCAACTTTTATAAAGGAACAAGCTTACACAAGTACAGTACTGGAAAAATTACTACAAGATGATTAGGTGGCTTAGTTTGTCTTCTCTGAGTCAAGTTATTACCAATTACAAATTAGTAAAATAAAAGTCCTTAACACCAATGTAGCATTAAGAAGTGGGAATTCTTTCTTCAGGCAGATGCACAAGGGGATATCTCCTCTGAAATACCATGCATCCTCAAAATAGCAAAACTTCTGTATATTATGTTATGTGATATGATGATATGATATGATATGATATGATATGATATGATATGATATGATATGATATGATATGATATGATATGATACGATACATATCTGTTGATTTTCCTGGAATAAACATACATCTCATTATAATTTTCACCAAATCATTAATGTGATTCATCCACTCTGGACATGTGATCTTCTGTCCCAGGGGTCTCTGTTGGTCCCTAGTGGTCAGTGACCCCCAAGTCATAACTGACCCCCCAAAGAACTAGTGCTTCTTTCCCAATTAGTAGAAAAGTTGGCACAACTGGGCTGGTTACTCTCCTGTACTTGGTTAATCTTCAACATGATCCTAGAGTAAGCACTGTGCAGTTCCACAGGCCAGTGATTTTTGAAGAGCAAGCATTGTGTCAGCCACCAGCTGTGCAAACAGCTGTTCGTCTGGCAGAAAGGTCGATCCTGTGATGGTAGCTCTTAATAGAAAATATTAGTCTAATTCTTTTGTAATGACACAATTCAATCAGAGTATTAGTTTGGTTTGGAGGTTGGCTGGGATTTTGTTGGTTTTGGTTGGTTTGTTTGTTTTCTGGTTTTGGTGGGTTTTTTTTTTGTTGTGGTTTTTTTTTTTTTTGGGTTTTTTTTATAATTTTTTTAAGATGGGAGACTTGTGTTCATCAGGTCTGACATTTTCTGCAACTAACCAGATTCTGGAAGTTCCTGTGCAGACCCAGAGAGGCTGTGCATTCTCCTTGCTTTGACTTTTCAAGAGAAACTGGACAAAGCCCTGAGCAATCTGCTATGGCTGATGCAGTTGAGGAGGAGGTTGGGCTAAAGACTTCCAGAGGTCTTTTCCCACCTCATTATGTGATTCCAATGCACGACTTCAGTTTGAGTGCTCCTTCCACAGTGGCCTTCCTTAGCCTCTGCAGCAGCCAGTTCCATTCTCCAAGACTGCCCTTTGGAGTCCCTAATTACCCAGGAGAGTAAGATGCAGGGAGTCAGGCTTGCAGGAGGATTCTCCTGGCAAGGTCCAGGCCTTGAGGTCAGCAGCATCTCTAAAGTAACATTAGCAGGTCATATGTTCCCCATTTGTGAAGTTCCTCATGAATGGAGATCACAAAAGTAACAGTGAAGAGGAGCAAATAACAGGATTTGTATTCTCAAAACTACAGTGTCCCTACCCATATTTTCCATTTGTGCTCATCTATCGCAGGAGTGCCTTCCTTTCAGAATTTAAGTCTCAGGGAAACTCCCTAATAGAACATTTGTGAGCCATAGGTGTCAGTCACTAAAGTCCCTTTGCTCTGTGAGCTGGGGAAGTGTGCCTACATAGGTCACCTTAATCAGTCTGCTTTTCATTTCAAGGCTCAACAAGGCTTGCTTTTCCCGCTTGTTTTGCTATTGAGGAAAAAAGGGAGTGCTTTCAAGGGCTTCTCAAATAGGCAAAGGAGATGAACTGGCTATTCTGAAACTCTCTAATGATGTATATTTTTTGATATTTGGCTATATTTCTTCCTCAGTGTACACTCAAAAATAAAAACTCCTAGGAATTATCAGCCCAATTACATAGGTCAATGGCAGACATGTCAAATTTCCATTTTCATTTAAATACCCCTATTTCAAATTCACTGTGGCATTGTTTGGCTGGCAGCGCATCTTAGCACCGTAGCCTGCATTTTATTAGCCACCAAAGCAATAATGTAAAATTAGACTTCCCACCTGTCCTGGGGAAAGTAGTCATAAACAACAATTGCCAAGTTCCCATGGAGATACAGAAGATTCAGATAATAAAGCAGAAATGACGGGTAAGAGGAGGATCGGGACAAGACTCACAGCTCATTTTAGTATGTCCTGCCACTGGGATTAATTCAAGCCAGCAAGAACAGTGTAAGTTACTTCCCAAGGAGTTGCACCCAAGGCTTCCCTATCATCAGTGATGTTCCACAGCTGAGGACATCTTCCCTGTCTTAGCTCTTTTATGCTTGGACTAGAGAGCACACTAACAATTCTAACTAGAACAGAATGAGTGGTCTCTTTTTTTGCCTGAGCTGATCTAGGACAGTAAATGACTGCTTTCAAATGAAGAGTTCCTCTTCATGCACATGTAAGTGTGTGTAAAAAAACATTAGTTCTCTATTGAGGACCTATACAAATAGGGGACCTATATAAACCTCAAATCTCTATAGAGGAAAGTAAACAGCAGAGGAAAAAATCCCACATTTGAAACAAAACACCAAGAAACTAAAAGCATTTTATACAACCAAAACATGCTTTGTCTTTCCTATCACTAGAGCATATATTAAAATTAGCTTAACATTCATATGCATTTATCCAGAGATGGGTTCATTATGTTATAGATGACAATATAACATTGGCTTTCGCATTTATAGATTAACTTCTTGTATCACAAGTACTTTGATATAGTACAATTTATACTTACTTTTAACTGCTTTTGTATAGTATAACCTGTCAGTTTTTGTTTACACTGTATAGTTTATATGAATGCTAATGTAATAAATACATTGTGTTGTAGGCATTAGCA